TGAAAGTTGATTTGGTCTGTTTGCCCTTTTGGCATGCACTACATAATTTGTCTTTGATGAACTTCATCTTTGGTAGACCAATAACTAAGTCATGCTTAACCAATTTGTTCAAGTGCTCCATGTGAATGTGAGCAATCCTCTTATGCCATAACCAAGCGTCATTGTTGTTTACCATAAGACATTGTACCTTCATAGACAAATCATCTAGAGTAATCACAAAAATATTGTTAGATCTTATACCTTTGAGTTTTACCTCATTGGTTGCCTCATCCATAATAAGGCATTCTTCTTTGTTGAATTTGATCTTGAACCCTCTATCGCAAAGTTGACTTATGCTAAGAAGGTTGTGCTTTAATCCTTCAACATAGAGAACATCCTCAATTTGAATGGATGGAGGTGTGCCAACTATTCCAACGCCAAGAATCTTTCCTTTGGTGTTATCTCCATAGGTGACATACCCTTTGGCTTTATGTACTAGATATGAAAATTGGTGTACATCTCCTGTCATATGCTTTGAACATCCACTATCAAGATACCAAACATTTGAAGTGGATTTCAAGCATACCTACAAAAACAAATTATTTCTTGTTAGGTACCCAAGTTGCCTTGGGTCCTTCATAGTTAGTTCCCTTTTTCACCCATGCATAATGTCCACTAGCCATACTGAAATTTCTAATATAGCATGCATTTGGTGTGTGTCCAATAATACCACAGTAAAAACAGTTTGGAATAAATTTGCTCTTGTATCTAGGAATTTGTTTTCTTTTAGATACATTAGCCTTTTTCTTTTGATGATTATGAACAACTTGCTTCTTTTCTACTTTCTTGGGATTGGAACTATTACTAGCCTTTACAAAAACAGTGGGATTGTTACTTGGTTTCTTAGTATTCACATAACCAAGACCTCTTTTATCATTAGGATAACGTTGTTGGCTTAGTAATCCTTCCAATCCTATTTGTCCTTTTTCATATCGTTCAATGACTCTTTTCAATTGAACAATTTGAAAGACATTTGATTCACACTTGGAGCATGCAAAGTTTTCCTTTTCTTTTATAAAATTTTGTTTTTGAAGATCAAAATCTTTAGTCATGGTGTCAATTTTTTCTAGACAACTTAGAAGTTCTTTTTCTTGTTTTGACACCTTTTTGTATAAACTTTTGCATTCTTTCAAGAGTTCATCAATTGCACCTTGAACATCATCATCAAAAAGATTAAATTCATTACTAACCTCTTCTTCATTGTCGGAGTGATGCGATGCCATTAAGGCTAAGTTTGCACATTCGTCGCTTTCCGATTCCGATGAACTGCTCATATCATTATCTTCCCATGCTATGTAGGCTTTCTTTTGTTTTGAGTCCTTTCCTTTGAATCCATTTTTCTTTGGGAGATTTGGACAGTTTGGCTTGATGTGTCCTTGCTTTCCACATTCATAACATGAGACATCTTGAGTTGATGTGGAGGCTTCTCTTTTCTTGAAGTGCTTTCTCTTATGTGCATGAGATCCGCCTTTGTCATTTCTGCCAAAAAACTTTCCAAGTCTTTTCACTAGAAGCATGAAATTTTCATCTTCTTCCAGATTGTCTTCTTTTACCACTTCTTTTGAATCAATTTTTAAGGCAATGTTTTTGGACTTCTTTTCTAGATTCTCATGTTTTTCAAGTCTACCGAGTTCCGTTTCGTATTCTTGAAGTTTGCCGAATAATGTAGCGGAAGTCATTGCGGAGAGACTCTTCTTTTCCGAGATTGCCGTTACCTTTGGTTGCCATTCCCTAGTCAATGATCTAAGGATTTTCAAGTTGAGTTCATCATTTGGCAAGGTTTTACCAAGAGCAATTAAGTGATTTGTCAAATGCACAAATCTCTTTTGTAAGTCAAGAATGGATTCTCCGGGCTGCATTCGAAATAGTTCATATTCTTGACTCAAGGTATTTAGCCTTGATCTTTTTACTTCAGCCGTTCCTTCATGAGTTTGAACCAAGGTATCCCAAATTTCCTTTGCTGTTGTGCAGTTTGAGACACGAAAAAATTCGTCCATACTGAGAGCACCTTGAAGAAGGTTTATTGCCTTTTTGTCATAGAGAACTTTCTTTTTATCATCGTCGTCCCATACAGTTTTGGGCTTTGCAGACCCAACGCCATTGATTACCGTTATTGGGATAAATGGACCATTTTCAACAGCATCCCATACTTCCTCTCCTTGTGCTTCTAAATGCGCCTTCATGCGTATTTTCCAAAAGTCAAAATATTCACCACAAAATAGAGGAGGCTTGTTGTTACTACCACCATCTCTGAAAACTGGTTGATGATTTGCGGAAGCCATTCTGGATCTCTAGGAGCAGGTTACCTATAACCTGCTCTGATACCAATTGTAAGATTAAGATTGCGCCTAAGAGGGGGGGTGAATTAGGTGATGGTCGATTTTTGACTTATTTTATACTTTCTGGTTTTGATTTAGTGCTTTGAAAACTGTAAAGTGCAGAAAGTAAAGAGACACGGAGAATTATCCTGGTTCCTTCCACAACCCGGAAGTACGTCCAGTCCCCTTGCAAACACGCAAGAGATTTTACTATATTGTTAGAACTTTTACAAGACTCTTCCTAGTCTTATCCACTAAAGAACCTAACAAATAACCAAGAACACCCTCTTGGATTTCCAATAAGTCTAATGAGAACAATCCTCTCAAAAGATACCTCTTGTTTCCAATAATGGACAACAAGGAACAAAAGTAATCTAATACTTAATTCCAACAATCCTGGAAATAAGTTACACTTTGTATGTTTTTATGAAGTATGATTTCTTGAAGTTTCTTCTTTCTTCTCTTGTAAGCAATTCAAACTGTAACACAATGGTTAGATAATGCTCAAAGATTTCTGTTCTTTATATGTGTGAAAGTGCAGAAAATCTTTGTTCTTAAAAGTTAAGAAATATGAAGTTTGAATATTTTACAAAGTTCAGATTTTATTGCAAGAGAAGAGATGTTTTTGATTTGAAAATATTTTGCAATATATAGTAATCAAGATACCTTTCCAAAAGGACACTTTTCTGTTTGTGAAACTTGACAAGATGCAATGTTTGATCATGCAACTATTGGAGAAAAGGTATGAAGGATATCTTGAAACCATTTCAGATTTTTCAAAAATTTCAATGTGCAAATCGATTAACATAACATGCAAATCGATTGCACGTGTTTGTAACGTTCAGAATTTCAAAAAGTTTGAAGTGTAAATCGATTAGCATGTTGTGTCAATCGATTTACATGTGTTAAAAAATCAGTTTGTTCTGTGATCAATCGATTTACACAACATGTCAATCGATTGCTGGCAGGAGCAAACAGTTTTTGAAAAAGCATGTGTAAATCGATTTACACAAGATGTTAATCGATTTACAGCAGAGAAAAACTTAAAAATTGTTTTTGAAATATACTTGAAGTGATGTGGCAAGTGTGTATATCATTTTTGAGCATTTCTAATCAATGTAGTTTAATTGAGAATTGATATACTTGATTGCTTGCCAAGTTCCTTGAAGCTTTGAGTGAATGATGCTTTAAGATGATTTCCACTACTTTTCCTTCTTTCCATAATGCTTGTTTGTCTTTCATCAAACTAGCTTGTTTGTCTTTCATCAAAACTAAAGTTGAGTTGAGGCTTGAGATTACAGACCTCACCAACACTTTTGAACCATCTGATCCTGAGTCCCCTCACCTGAACAATGACATCACCAACACTTATGGTTACGTAGACTCTGAAGAAATCATTTATGATGAAACTGGTTCTGATGAGGAAATTAATCCTAATCATCCAATCTCTAAACTTCAACCTCCTAGCCTTAACCTTAATTAAGTAATTTCTAATTTCAAGGACAATGCAGTAAGGAGAGTTAAGAAGCTCAATGAAGAATTTAGCGCAAGCAGTGACCCCTCTTATCTAACTGCTACCTGGAATAAGTTTAACATATGGATGTCAGTTGAGTTTCTCAGAATCAGAAACCAACCAATCATGATTAAAGATAAGTGCGTCAAGGAAGTTGAAGAAATGTATGAGGCTTTAGAAGCTCAAAAGGCTACTAAAAGAGAGGTTGCTGAAAGAAAAGCCGCTGAAAAAGCAGCTCAGGAAGCTGCTAGGATAACAGATGAGAAAGAAATTAAAGAGACTTATGGGAATTCAGATAAGGCTAAAATTTTCTCTCTTATGTTGAAGACTCTTAAAGATATGCAGAGAGAACAACAGTTGGTCAGAACAAGACTCGATAAGCAAGATGTCATCAATGAGCATGTGAAATTCAATTCGAGGGGGTTAAGTAATATGGTAGCATTGCATTACAAGAATAGTAGAAATTTTTTCAATATTTTTTAGGATCTTTATATTATATGTTGTAATAAGTATTTTATATATTATATTTTTTGTATTAATTTTTCAATTTTAAATATAATGTAAATAGAGTAGTATAAAATATGAAATATCTGAGATAAGAATATATTATATAGAATAAATAAAAGAAGTTGTGAGGGGATGAAATAAGTGTATATTTAAATTGCAGGTGATAATTTGAAAACATGTCAGACATATTTAGTGAAATTTTTGATAAATTGACGATAATTGTTTAATATTTAAAAGGAAACCAGTTATATATATATATATATATATATATATATATATATATATATATATATATATATATATATATATATATATATATATATATATATGTATATATATGTATATGTATCTATGAATTTTGAGTGATATTGATTTTCATATTTTATCTTCTTTAATTTATAAAATTCCCCGAAAAATATTACAATATAAATTTATAATATTTATTATTATTATTATTATTATAAATTATATGTAATTATAATTATTAAAATATATACCCTTTCAATAGTTACGATTATTTCTTATGCTCTCGTTTTGAACGGCGATTTCCGGGGACCTGGTCAGTTAGTCAGCGCGGCAGAAGCGATTTTCGGCGCGGCGGTCAAAGCAAGTTTCCAGTTTTATTAGTTCAAAATTACCCTCTCTTCGTTGCGGTTCCATCTGTGAAGGTTTAAACTCCTAGTCTTAGGGCTAGGGACTGAAACAGTTGGAGTCGAAGTGGTGTTTTTCTCGGTGAAGATCGGCGCTATGGCAAGAACAACAAAGGGAGCAAAAGGGAGAACAGGGAAGAAGAAATGAGGGACTAATTCACCATCAAAGGAGAAGAAAACGAGACCAATAGAATAAATCATGGGAGTCAAAGCAATAGATTTTACGGAGGAGACTTCTGAGGAACCAGAGATAACGGGACCTGAAGGATCTAGCACTGGAGAATTGCATCACGAAATAGCAAGTTTTTCGAATGCAAACATGGAGTGCCCAGAACATGTGAAACAAGGTAACCCTAAAACTCCCCTATTCTAGAAATAGGCACAGTGGTTCAAAACCTAAATGAGAAAGTTTGTGAGGCAAGAAACGCCAATGAAAAAGTTAAACTTAAGATTCAAGTGAAAATAGATTTAGAAGATATTGAGGATGAAATTGCATATTGGGAATCTTCTATAGTATGTTATGTTTTGGGAGCGAATCTACCTTTAGAAGTAATGGAAGGGTTTGTGAAAAGAATTTGGAAGCAAAGATCTATTGATAAAATAGGAGTTTTAACTCATAGAGTGTTTTTCATTAGATTTGGAGTTGTTCGGGAAAGAGAAGAGGTGCTAAAAGAGGGATATATGTTCTTTGATAAGAAGCTTGTTATCTTGAAAGCTTGGGACCCCAACATTGACTTTAAGAAAGAAGATCTTAAAACTATCCCTATCCGGATAAGGCTGGAAGACCTTGATTTGAAGTATTGGAGGGAGAAAGCCATGTTTAAAATAGTTAGTCAAGTGGGAAAATCCCTAAAGATGGATGAGGCAACAAGGAAAAAAGAAAAACTTAGCTTCCCAAGAGTGCTTGTGGAAGTAAAACTTGCACATGAGTTACCTGATACCATCTAGTTTGAAGATGAGAAGGAAAGGTAAGTGGAAAACCAGGTGCATTATGAGTGGAAACCAATCATTTGCAACCATTACAAAGGGATTGGACATACCACTTAAGAGTGCAAGAAACATAGGGCAGGCAGGCAGCAATGAAATGTCAAACCTGACATTAAGCCAAAGGAGGAAAAAGAGAACAAGCATGAGGGTTTTCAACAGATTACTAGAAGAGGAAAAGGGAATGATCTGAAGGAAAAGAAAGGGGTTATCATCAATACAGAGAATCCTTTCCTTGTTCTGGATATGGATGAACCAGACCCATCTGGTGAAGGAGAGAATACAGGAAGAGGGGGAGAACCTCTTCAAAACCATGGATTTAATAGCTGCTTGGAACATCAGGGGGATTAACAACCAATCAAAGTAGGCTAAGGTGAAGAAATCCATCCATAAAAATATGATTGGTTTGATTGGTCTCCTTGAGATACGGGTTAAGGCTCGGAATTTGGGGGCCTTATATACAAACCTTTTTCCAAATTGATGTTTTACAACTAATATAGTTTGGCATAAAGGGGGGAGAATAGAAATTGGGTGGAATCCTGTGATGTTCATAATTGACATCCTCAAGTGCACTAGCCAAATTATCCATCTCAAAATTTATCCCACTGGTAGAGAGGCTTTTCTCACTACATTTGTCTATGCATTTAATGATGTGGCTGGGAGAAGAAAACTCTAGACAGACAAAGAGAATATCAACACAAAGGACCCTTGGATCATATTAGGGGACTTCAATGATATCCTTAACAAAGATGAAAGAATTGGAAGGAAAGTGAAAGAGCAGAATAACACAGACTTTAAAGACTGTATTCAGAGGTGCAACCTTGAGGATATTAAGTCAACTGGAAATTTTCACACTTGGAACAACAAGCAGGTAGAAAATGACAGAATCTGCTCTAAAATTGATAGAATCATGGCAAATTAGAGCTGGCAGAATATCTACACTCAAGAAGAAGCTTACTTTGCAAATGAAGGGATGTTTGATCATTCTCCAACTATCTCACAAACTGGCCAATGATTAAGCAAGGAAAGCAACCCTTTAAGTACTATAGAATGTGGAAAGAAAATAATGGATTCAAGCAGAAGATAAAAGATGACCAGTCCAAGTATTGTCAGGGCACACCAATGTACTAGGTGATGTGTAAGCTTAAAAGGCTTATGTTGATCCTAAAGGAGATAAACAGAGATGGCTATAACAATATTTATGAAGCAGACTTGCAGGCAGCAATTAATCTGGAAGAATCTCAGGAAGCTCTCAAAAAGGACCCTCTAAATAATGAGTTGATTGTTAAGGAGGCCCAGGATAGAAGCAACTATAGTCAAACTCACAAAGCCTACTGCCAATTCCTAGCTCAAAAAGCAAAGATCCAGTGGCTTAAAGCAGGTGATAAGAATACTGCCATTTTCCACCAAAGTATCAAGCAAAAAAGAAATGACAATAGAATCTACTCAATTACAAAGCAATATGGCCATTGGGTAAATCAACAAAATGAAGTTTATGAAGCCTTTCTAACTTTCTACAAATATCTTTTAGGAAGCAAGATGGAGAATAGAAGAAAGGTTGACCTAAACATCATGAAAACAAGGAAGAGTTTAAATCAGAATCAGAAGGATTTTCTTAGTAGGCCATACACTATTGATGAAGTAAAGCCATCAATCTAAAGCATACTAGGCATTAAAGCCCCAAGAGCTGATGGATACAATAGCTACTTTTATCAGGACAACTGGGACATTGTTGGAGAAGAGGTTAGTAGAGCTATCACAGATTTGCTTAACAATGGTCAGTTGTTGAAGGAAATAAGTACCACTGTGCTTACCTTGATTCCTAATTCACATTGCCCTAAAGATGTAAGTTACTACAGGCCTATAGCATGATGCAATATTCTCTATAAAACTGCCACAAAGATGATATGCTCTAGACTTAGAGAGATTCTGCCTGAGCTGATAACCCAGCATCAAGCGGGGTTTGTGAAAGGTATATTTATTACCCACAATATAATGATTTATCAAGATTTGGTCAAACATTATGGCAGGAAAAATTCAAAAGCCAATTGTATGATCAAATTAGACTTAAGGAAGGCATATGACACTATTGAATGGGACTTCATTAAAGAAATGATGGATGCTTTCAACTTTCCCAAACCTTTCATAGACCTGGTAATGAGATGTGTTAGAACTCCTAAGTGTACCTTAAGTTTCAATGGGAGCTTGCATGGATACTTTGAAGCTAATAGGGGCCTTAGACAAGGGGATCCAATGTCCCCTTTGCTCTTTGTTCTTAGTATGAAGTATTTGTCTAGAATTCTGAAGAAAGTGGGGAATTTGAAAAAATTCAAGTATCATGAGAGATGTGAAGGCTTGCACGTGAACCACTTGTGTTTTGCAGATGATGTTCTCATGTTCTGCCATGGAGACTACAGGTCAATTCTGATGCTCCTGCAAGGCCTGAAGCTATTCTCAGACACATCTGGGCTCCAACCAAACAAAAACAAGTCTGAATTTCACTGCACGGGGATGGATGATAATGACATCTAAAGGGTGGCTGATACATCAAGCTTTTCTAGAATGAGACTCTCTTTTAAGTACTTAGGAGTACCGATTATGGCCAAAAATATTTCAGCAAAAGACTGCAATATTGTTGTGGAAAAGATGACTAGTAGAATAAGAATTTGGAGCATTGGATCTATTTCTTTCGCGGGGATAATGACTCTTGTCAATTCAGTCCTAATGAAAATCCACACTTATTAGAGCCAACTCTTTATCCTACCTAAAAGAATCATTAGGGAGATAAATTCTATATGCAAATCTTATCTCTGGACTGGTAATGCCATGGCTAGTAGTCCTAGGAGCATAGCTTGGGACATTGTGTGCAGAATAAAAAATGAGGGTGGCCTAGGTTTGCAAAATACGCTTGTATGGAACCAAGCATGTGGGGGCAATAACCACAAAGAAAGATAATATCTGGATCAAGTGGGTGCACAATGTGTACATCAAAGAGCAAAAATAGAGGTCCTACGAAGCAAACATGTAGTGCAACTGGTATTGGGAGAAGATAATAGAGATAAAGAACAAGATGAAGAGTACTAGCAATATCCTGACTGGCCTGACTGGTAACTACAACATCAAAGAGAATTACAAGTTGTTTAGTGATTCTTATGAGAAGAAATTCTGGGCACCACAAGTGTGGACAAGATTAAGCATCCCAAAGTATCGCTTTATTCTCTGGCTTGTTGTCCAGGACTGTTTGAAAACTAAACAGAGACTCCATAGAATGCATATTACAACTGATGCAAACTGCGTGATTTGTGGTAATCCAGGTGAAACAAATGAGCATCTTTTCTTTAATTGTGCCTTCAGTTTGAGTGTTTGGCGAAGGATGCAGACTTGGCTAAACTGGAAGATGAACACTACCAGTCTGATACAAAGTTTGAGGTGGATAAATCGAGCTTCGGGAAAAATGTGATGTCTGCTAGTCTAGAAGCAATTGTATATCAAATTTGGCACTCAAGGAACGAAGCTCTGTAGAACCACAGTGAAAATAATGGAGAAAATTATAGATGTGATTAAGAATAACATTAAAGTGAGAATCCATAGTGTTTTACCGAAAAAGATGAAACAAGACTTAACCTGGTTTAATAGCTTATAGCTTGATTCTTTTTGTAATTTGTTGATTGTAAAAACTTTTAGTATTGGTTAATAAACTTTTTGATTTACCAAAAAAATTTATTAAAATATATATTTTATTTAAAATAATATTTAAGATAGAAATTCAAATCAATCTCGTACAACGCATATTTAATTAAAATATCAATTATATTTACTATTGGAGTAAATCTTATAAAAGATTAAAATTTTAAAACAAAAATAATATATAAGCTTTACTAAGATAGAGACGAGGGTAACTAAATACAGACGTTATATGTGTCTCGTATCTAAACTACTATGAGTCATGTTTCAGATTTTTTTTTTTGAATAATCAGATATTAAAAAAAATTGCAAATAACCACGTTTTGGAAAAAATTACGTAAATAACCATGTTTCAGATGGCTCTCCAAAGGAGGAGCCATCTCACTTGGCGCCTCCACCAAGCTTTTTGCCCTAGGTGCCATCTCACTTGGCGCCTCCTCTCTCTTTTACCCAAGTGAGATGGCGCATGCACTTTAAAAGTGAGAGGAGGCGCCATCTCACTTGGCTCCTAGGGCAAAATGCTGTTTTTATAAATAATTCGTCAGTTTCTCCGTCATTTCTCACACTTTCTCGCACTATTTTCTTATTTTTTACTCTGTTATTTGCGTCATGACATCGCCCATGATTTTTACCAGAGATGGTTACGTTATCTTCTCCGCCATAAAACCTGCGATGAAAATGAAATTCTGGCACATTCACTCGATGGAGCGTCTGAAGCGGGAGTTGTTGCGATGGCTAGATGGAGACATCGTGGAGGGGGGGAAATTCGAAGGATCCAGCGAAGATGAACAACAACCTCACATGTGACAGGAAGACCTAATGTTTGGTTGGAGGAAGTCAAAACAGACAGCGACGCAATGTTGATGATGCATGGGTCAGATGATATTGTTTTAACAGTTGTAATTTCGTAGACGGAATATCGTGTTTTTTTTCTTGTACGCGCAATGTTTATTGTAGAAAATACTATTAACGAAAAACCCTAATGTTTACAACATAATTAAGGAAAGATTTTATGTAATACAATTTTTATGTGGTCGAGGCAGACGCCCGATTCAGACAATTTTTGCAATTGTGTCCGACCTGACGGCATAAACCATACTTTCTTTCCATCTTGTCAAGGGAGTCCATTTCGGTTGTGATGCGCTTACTTTTAGGACGACCCTTTTTGTTCCTTCGCATTTGGTCATCGTGCCATACTATTTCGCCGTCATATGCAAGCCAATAATCTGGTTTTGCTACCAAAGGGAAGTTGTTGTTGTAAATGTTGAGCAACGTTTCAGATTTGTAAATGTGTGATAGAAGTTGTAGCGTATCTTGATGGGTATAAGCACACGCGACAATGACATGAGAGCAATGCATACAAAAGGCTTGAAACTTGCCACAATCGCACCAACGAGAAGGTAGTACAACCCTATATTCTTGTCTTGGCAGACCCTCGTTGTGGTCGATTGTCTCTTTCACAATGAAGTTGTGGCTGTGTCGGTCAAACCGTATAACCATATGGGTGTTGGCTTTGGCACTTTCTGCCTTAATGTACTTCATGCAGCTTTCACTCCATAATTGTCCAGATTGCAACACCGCATTCTATATTTCACTTCTTTTGGCAAACAACGAAGCCATCCTAAAATACGTAGATTTTATCAAAGCAGTGACCGGGAGGTTTCGTATGCCTTTGAATACCCCATTCATCGATTCAATTAGATTTGTTGTCATGTGCCCCCATCTTTGGCCATTGTCGTATGACCTAGTCCATTTTCCAACCAGAATATTGTCGATCCACCTACCGGCATCTGAGTTTGACAAACAGATCTTATTGCGGTAATATTTGAATGTGGATTGTGTCAATGCATATCCCGTATTCATAACCGCTTTCCTTAGTGTTTTGTCCTTGATCTCCCTCGTGAAATTTTGGACGATATGTCTAACGCAATAGACATGCGTAGAAGGAGGGTCATGCCAACCGTTTGCAGGATTATTATATGCACTTTTAATGGATGCATGTCTATCTGAGATCAAACAGAGATCTGGTTGAGGTGCCACGTGTGTTTGCAGGTTTTTCAGAAAAAAGCTCCAAGCACCACCGGTCTCCCCCTCGACTAGGGAAAAGGCAATTGGGAAAATGTTGTTGTTGTCATCTTGTGCGACTACCATCAGTAGCGTGCCTTTGTATTTCCCATACAACCAAGTCCCATCAATTTGTATAATTGGTTTGCATGATGCAAACCCTATGATGCAAGGTTGAAATGCCCAAAACACTCGACTGAATATTCCATTTCCGTTTAGTTGACTACCATCTTAGGCGTATGCTGGCACTGTTTCCAGAATGTAAACAATACCTGGAGAATAAGTCTGGAGTGCATTCAGGTAGCGAGGAAGTTCTTGGTATGACTCCTCCCAGTTTCCGTACACCTTTTCAATCGCCTTGGTCTTTGCTAACCACGCCTTACGGTAAGACGGAGTATAGTTAAAAATCATAGTGATATGGGATATGATGGTTTTCACCTTTAAAGATGGATCGTTGCTGACGAGTGGTAGGATTTCTTGACAAATGAGATCGTAATTAAGTTTTCGATGGTCCTGTGATTGAGTAGAACTGACACAGGTGTGGGTAGACATGGAACCTATGACCCAGCAATCACCTCTTAATCTGTATGATACAGTGAGCTTGAAAATAAAATAAGGGTGGACACACTTGATCTTGTACCTTTCTAGGTTTACACGGTCCACCTTAAAATCGACAGAGTTGAGCATGTGGAATTTTTTTATGGCTCTGATACATTATTCTCTGTTACGAAACTTGTCTTTCTCTTTTAAGTTTTCATCCAACTGCATATACGGATTGAAAAATAAATCAAAAGACGGTTCATCTCCGCCCATGTTGAAGTTTGTCATGTGCGGAGGTGGTGTGTAGATCTCGTTTGCAGGAATACCAGGTATCCCATCGTCTTCAGAATCATCATTCACCATTTCGTCAAACTCTAACTCGTCATCTTCTTCTTCTTCATCAACTCCATCTACCTCTACTTGTTCGGTCTCCAAAGGATCAACCACTTGTGTCACCTGAGGCTCTTGCAGCATAATGTACAACTCAATAGAGTCGTACCCGGAATACACATGGCTGGAAAACATATTCTGAAGATCCCCGTCATCTTGAACCTCAACCTTATAAAAAATTATTTGGTTGTTACCAAAAATAACTGGATTCTGATAAAATATTTGTGACACCGGGCCTCGTCCAAGTTTAGCCTCCAATCATTTTTTGAAGTACAAGAAATTGGCTTTCCCATTTAAATGAAATCGGATGTTGTCTGTGTCTCTAAACAAAAACCCAGAGGTGGGATAAATGTATGTCTCACCGTTGAAATGTGCACTGATGACATATTGGGGTGCAGAGGCCATTGCGTATGATTATTTGAAGGTTTGAAGGTTTGAAGGTTGGAAGGTTTGAAGTTTATGAGTTATTCGAAGGTTTAAAGGTTTGATTGTTTGAAGGTTTTAAGGTTTGAAGTTTATGAGTTATTCAAAGGTTTGAAGGTTTGATTGTTTGAAGGTTTGAAGGTTTGATTATTTGAAGGTTTGAAGGTTGGAAGGTTTGAGAGATTAAGTGAATCAGTGTTTTGATAAATGTAAGACTAAATAGGTCATATTGAATTTCAGTTAACTAAGGTTGTAACCTCTAAGGCTCCTCCCATCATGTCCAATAGTGTTACCAAGGCTGCCACCTAGCCCGCGCCTACTCTGCACCTACACTGTAACTTGCAAGTCTCCTCCCATCACCTCCAATAGTGTTACATGCATTCAGACATGCCTTGTCCAAGGCTGTCACCTAGCATGCGCCTACTCTGCAACCCATGCCACCTCTTATTCGCCAATGGGATGGAGACACCTTTCATTTTTGTACTCTTTCGCCAAGTCCAATGGCGCCTCCCTTCACGTCCAATAGTGTTACATGCATTCAGGGATTCCTTCTCCAAGGCTTCCACCTAGCCTGCGCCTACTCTGTAACCTGCAAGTCTCCTCCCATCACCTCCAATAGTGTTACATGCATTCAGGAATTCCTTGTCCAAGCCTGCCACCAAGCCTGCACCTACTCTGCAACCCATGCCACCTCTTATTCGCCAATGGGGATGGAGACACCTTTCATTTTTGTACTCTTTCGCTAAGTCCAATGGCTCCTCCATTCATGTCCAATAATGTTACATGCATTTAGGGATACCTTCTCCGAGGCTTCCACCTAGCGTGCACCTACTCTGCACCTACACTGTAACTTGCCAGTCTCCTTCCATCACCTTCAATAGTGTTACATGCATTCAGGGATGCCTTCTCCAAGGCTGCCACCTAGCCCGCGCCTACTCTGCACCTACACTGTAACCTGCAAGTCTCCTCCCATCACCTCCAATAGTGTTACATGCATTCAGGCATGCCTTGTCCAAGGCTGCCACCAAGCCTGCACCTACTCTGCAACCCATGCCACCTCTTATTCGCTAATAGGGATGGTGAAACCTTTCATTTTTGTACTCTTTCGCCAAGTCCAATGGCGCCTCCCTTCACGTCCAATAGTGTTACATGCATTCAGGGATGCCTTCTCCAAGGCTTCCACCTAGCCCGCGCCTACTCTGCACCTACATTGTAACCTGCAAGTCTCCTCCCATCACCTCCAATAGTGTTACATGCATTCAGGGATGCCTTCTCCAAGGCTTCCACCTAGCCTGCGCCTACTCTGCAACTCATGCCACCTCTTATTCGCCAATAGGGATGGCGACACCTTTCATTTTTGTACTCTTTTGCCAAGTTCAATGGCGACTCCCATCACCTCCAATAGTGTTACATGCATTCAA